GAGATATTTAAGAAGAGAAGAAGAAAAGAAGAGAGAAGAGAAAAGAGAGAAGAGAAGAGAAGAGAAGAGAAGAGAAGAGAAGAGAAGAGAAGAGAAGAGAAGAGAAGAGAAGAGAAGAAAAAAAAGAAAAGAGAAGGGAAATGGAGAAAATGAAAAAAGCCCTTCCCCCCATGGATTTTCTATTGTACTGTATTGTGTAGATCTTGACAAAATGTATGTCTGTTGTTGCTCAATAACATTAATAACATCATATGTTCTGAGGGCTTCGGGGTGTGAAAACTTTCAAGTGGCACAAAAAAACTTTGAGGTTTACACAAAGAATTTTAAAAAACCTAACTTTGGTTGAAAGACTCCTTGCTGCGTATTCTCTCATATTTTATGTTTGTTTCATAGGTGAATAATTTCAGTATGGTTTTTTCCCTGCCTTCTTTATAATGGCATTGCTTTATTTGAGTTTGAAACAGAAAAAAGCAACTAAAAGAAGCAGTTTTGCAAATGATGCTCAATTATGGTTCTGAACCTCTGTTTGCTCGGCTAGGCTTCACTGATCTTTCATTAAATTTACACTGTTCCTTTAACAGTGTGGATGGGCTTGCTTTCTTGCTTTTTAAATAAATCTTATTTTGTTTTGCAGCATTTAACATCAGAATCTATTAAAAATGTTAGTAAATGAACCAAATTTTAGCTGGATGTCATCCAGATACTGTTTGTAGATCCTTGGTTGTAATCCCTTGGTTGGTTCCTGTGGACTTCCAGCTGTAGAATGAATAGGATTAATGTATTCCCCAACTTGTTTCTCCAGAAAGATTGTGTGGTTTTTCCTCCTTCCTTCTTTTTCTTTAAAAAAAAATCCTCCGAAATGAAAACAAAAGGCTGCTGTAGGAGCACAGCATCACTTTAAAAAGAATCACTTTCATTTGTTAACACTTGTTATGTATGTCCTTAGAACATTTTTGTTGTGTCAAGGAGGGAGTATCTGATATTAAAAATGCAGACTCTGCTTTAATTAGCTGCATGCTCATACTTTAATACAGCATAATGTATTTACAATTTGATAAGACAGGAGATAGAGCTGATTAGCAGTTTAGGGAATTAATCCTTCACTGAATACCTTGTACTTGCGCTGATCGTGAGAGCTATTCTGAAGCTCCTTATATTTAAAATTGTAATCTATAATATCTCCTAAACCAGCAATTTTTCAAAGTTAATTATAAGTCAGTCAGCAGTTGTGGGTAATTATATGCAGACTTACTTTTTATCTTATATTTGTTGGTGAATGATATATCAAATAACTTAGTGCACACACTGTAGTCTGCATAACCCACCTAATGTACTTATTAATCTGAAAAAGGTAGAGTGAACTGTGATCAAAGTACCACGAGCATGGAGAATACACACCGCTATTTCTTCAGAAACTGTTATCAAGATCGCAAGCACAAACAACGTGACCAACCTTCTCTGCCGGCCTGTCACCAAGATCACTAATGTCAACGAGAGCCTTCCTTTTGCCATTAATAGGCTCCGTAAGAAGCTCTATGGGCCAAACCCCCTTATTCTTCAGCCACGTAAACCAGCTGCAGAACTGGAGAGGTTTTGCTGAGCAAGGATGGGGCGGGCAATGGGCAAATGTGGGGCCTCACGGCAGCGGACTCCATTTCTTTTTGTCCCAGCGGGACTCCTTTACACAAATACTATTTACACTGTCCGTTGCACAGGATAATAGGATTTGGCCCTCTGCATTAAAGTAATACCCATTAACTACGATCTTTTCATTCATCAATCCATTCTAATGGGAATAATCTGTACCTATCTGGGGAACGGGAGAGGTTAACGCCGGCTTCTTGGAGTCAGCTGCCAGAACACAATTATTGTACAATATGTCTCAGGTAGCCTGGCAGGAGGTAGTATTACAGGGTAATGAGGGTGAGCTTAACTTCTGAAATACCCGGTCATTTCCAAGATTTATGAAAGTCTTAAGTCGGTTTTTGCCCCATTTTGAAGCACTCCATTAATAAAAAATATCTATAGCAAAGTGCACAGACTGCTTTTACACAATGTTCAGTGTCTCAAAACAGTAGCTTTTAGGCAATGTAGTGTGGTGGTTGTTTTTTTTTTTTTTTTTCCTTTTTAACCTGAATTAGAGGCCTCTGGAACTGCATTTTGTCCTTTGGGGGACAAAATAGGTAACAACAAAGTAGTTGTAACTGTCCTGTGACACAGAAATGCAGCAGAACTTGAGGGAAAACAATAACATGAACTCATGGATAAATCCAGGAGAAAAAACTAGCTAATGTTAATAATATGTCAAGTGTGGCCTTTAGAGAAAACTGGTAATCCAACAGGTATCCTAAACTTAACATATTCTGCTTCAACCTGATACTCTGCATGTTCTTTGCTATGAACATACCAGTAGCCTCAGCTATTTCTGGGAAAAGTAATGTAAAAAGTTCATGTTGGACGGTTGGACTGAGTAGGAATATGGAGAAGTTGGACTGAGTAGGACTAAAGGGGAAATGGCCTTGATATAACTGATATCCCCAAAGAGCCATACATATTTCAACAAATGGGATGGGAAGTCAAATCACCTAAAATGCCTGGCCAAAGATACAACCACTTAAGATATTTGAATTTGTATCCAAAACTGAGCTTCTAATGAGCAGACATGGAGGTAGTAGGCTGTAAAAGTCACCCAAAATATAGACAGGCACAAGGAATCCTGGATCCCCAGATCTTCCAGCTGGGACAAACTGAGGGACTTCTAGATGAGAGACCCTGAAACATCTAAAAAGGCTTCAGCTGCTACTTAGAGCCAAATGTTGTGTTTTATACTTACTTTGGCTGTAATCACGTGTTTTCATTTTTTTAATTAAAGCACAATCTTGAGATCTTGTTGAATAAACCTTCGATGACGTTATAATTAAGGCTGCCTTAAGGTGACAGGCAAGGTGAATGAGAATGAAATGGCAAACATAAGGCACAGTGTCTCCGGAGAGGCAGCAAGCTGGAGCAGAGCAAGATGTGCAGGCAACTGTGAAACCGAGCTCAGGACAGGCTTTGCACAGGCCTGGAAAGGGCCAGCCTGGGGACTGCTGCTGCCACGCGCCGGCTTTGGGGAGACGTTACCTGTATAATGAGCAGAGCTACTCCGCGGCTTTGGGCAAACCCAAAGCCTGAAACGTTGTGGCACGGCCACAGTTTTATCGAGTGAATAATGATGTTACAGTGTGACACGGTAAGTTCTTGTGCCTTTGTTTTCAGTGTTATTACATGGCTGAGCAGTCAGAGAAACTGCTGCATGTCCTGAGAGCGGCTTCTCGGCAAGTCTAATAGGCTAAAGGGGAATTGCATTGATTCCAAGCCCAGAACGGAATTTTTGTTTCTTTTTTATTTAACAAACCACCCCAAACTGCTATTGGGCAAACAATGCACTCAGTCCTTACTATTTCACAAGGGAAACCTCTGACTTTCTCCCTGGAAGCCCAATTCTGTGAGGTGCTGAGCATCCTCAGCCCTCCCTCCCCCTGAGATTCAGTGGGAATCAGGTTTCGCTCAGTGTGCTCGGGTGCACTACAGGACTAATTTTAATAATTAATCTATTCCTTTTTTTTTTTTTTAAGTGGTTAATCAAAGACAAGGGTTGATATAGGAACAGCCTCCGCTCACAGCATCTTCAGGGAATCATTTATCCTTAAAGATATTTGTAAAAGTATTTTTAGCTTGCTTAAATTCTAGAAACGTTGTGGTATATTTATGAGCAAATGGTAGGAAATTTAAAATATGTTTACGTGAAATAGACATTAAATAAGGGCAATTATTAGGATCCCATGAAATCAGGATTTTGTAGATACGGGCAACTACATTTATGTATCTGTATAACCCAGGATAATCTCCGAGGAACCACAAATCTGGATGAGCTAGGTTTTATTGTACATCTGTGACTGAGTTTAAAGGAAGGATGCTAAGTGTTTGGTACATCTCTTTTGGGGAGATCATCTGTGTGAAAGGTCACGAGGATTTAGGACTTTGGAGTGACTTCTGGCCCCGTTAAACCAACGGCAGAACTCCTGTTAAATGCCACACTCCCATTTCCTCCAGTGCTGTCAAGGCTTTACCTCTACAAATCATAGAGAGCGATAGTCTCAAGGGATTCACGGGCAACGGTGGACACTGCTCTGGGTTTCACTCTGCAGATTAGCACTTGCATGTATCGTGGATGCACGCTGTGGTATAGAGCAGGATAGTGAAATTTTCCTGCAGCTGTGTTTTGGGGATGTCCATGATACAGTTCCCACGTTCACAGCTGTGATGTTGGTGGGTGAAATAAAGCAGGCATGCAAGGAAGAGTTCAGAGCTGTCTTGAGTGGTAAAAGTCCTAGGATCAGATCTGACCCACAGCCACAGCATCAGTCTGGATAATTTCCTCTTGTAAAGAAATTCACGGGAGGGAAAAAACAATTGCAAATTCGAAGAAATTTCCTGGTGCTTTCCTAATCATCTTGTCAACAATAAAGAGGTTTTGCCAAAGGAATTAGCCTGAGGAGCTCTGTTCAATCAATCACATGTATTTTAGGATAGGACGGGAAAGACTGTGTGTAGTGCTAACCTACCTCCACCTAGAGCGAGGACAGCTCTGTAAATGTGTTTGCAGATGCATCCCTTCCTCTGTCTCAAT